CTCTTCGTTTAGCCATATTGGAATATGACCAATCATATTTGAATCATTGATATAAAAGTTAATGATGCTTCGCAACACCAAATTCTTTGTACCCTTTTTTGTTTCTTGTTTTCTAATAGATGTAATATATACATTGTTCCTTTATCTGGCGTTTAATCTTTTATTTTGCGGTCTCCCTATCTTTAATCTCGAGCCAGATCGATCTCACTGCTGGGGTCTTTTTTAGACGCCCATACTTCAGTATGAGCGAAATTGATATATAGTGCATTTTTCATACACTATTGTAGTCATTTTTTCATTCTTATGGACGGGAAGGAAAAAAAAAAAGAGGTGAATATGTTGGCCTTCTTGTTTTGATGATGTTTAACAAACAATTTACTTCTAATATTGTTTGTCTAGTATTTGTGTTTTCTTATTTATTATAGACAAACAACGTAGTTGGAGGATGGATGGAATTGCGCTTTAACGACGATATCAAATGGAGGTTGGCGGAATTGTGGAGTGAAGCATCGTACAATTCAAGTTCAAGATCCAAGTTTAGCTTCATCCGCAACGTGTACCAAGTTGAGCTCAATGAAGATCAAGATCAAGCTTGGGTAATTTAGTTTAGGATTTATATTATGTGTGTTAAGTACGTTAAGCTCAATATCTATACACACACATTTATTGGTTTCTTCGTGTGTGTATATATATATATATATATATACATGTGTTTTGAGTTTTTATGATTATATATATGAAATTATATATTTCATATTTTCTATCGTGTTTTTGAAAACATTGCATAGAATATGCAATTTTGTGAAAATATTGTATTCTTAGTTTGTAGACTTCAATATCAGTTTATACATGTTTTACTAAGTCTATAAAATATATATATATATACATAAGTTTTGGTTTCTATGCATATATATAGTTATATATATACATACATAGTTTTTGAGTTTTCATGTTTATAAATATGAAATCATATATTTCATATTTACTATTGTGTTTTTAAAATCATTACATAGAATATGCAATTTTGTGAAAATTCTGTATTCTTAGTTTTTTGGACTTAACAATAATCATATACATATTTTATTAAGTTTATATAATCATTGTGCAAAGTTTCAAAACATGGTTTAGCCAAAATATCAAAATTCACATGTTTACATTTTCGTGTTTTGGACTATTTTGTAAAATGATGATTTTTCACAAATGGGAAATGCAATTTGGAAAATTCTTTTTGTAACATGTTCATTTATATGTTTATATACATTTCCCAAAGTTTTATTATTTTTGGACTTCATTTGTTATTTTTAACATATTTTCCGAAGTCTCAAAATCAGCTTTTAAAACCTGTTTTACTGTAGTATCAGTTTTCGGTCGACTGCACCGGTCGACCGATCATATGTTCAGTCGACAGTGGGCAGCAGAGAGTTTGTCGGTCGACCGGTGCGGTCGACCGAGAGCTCGAATCGGTCGACCGCACCGCGCACCGGTCTGAGTTTGGGATCTGAATCGCGGTCGACCGCAAATATTTTCGGTCGACCGCCGCGGTGTCAGATCAATCCCAACGGCTATTTTTAGAGCCGTTGCAGAGGTTTTTTTCTTGGTCTTTTTCTTGGCTTTCTCTCTCCTTTGGGGTTTTATATATATACTCCATTACCTCAGATTTTATAGACAAGCAAGAGAATGGTTTAAAAGATTTTAACAAGAGTTTAAGCTTGTTTTAAGCTTGTTTTAAGCTTGTTTAAGGGTTTGGTTTAAAGTTGTTTTGGTTTTCACAAGTGGAGGAGATTATCTTCTTGTTTGGGCTTCAATCTCCATCGCTCCATCTTGTCATCTATTGAGAAGTTTTCTAAACTCTACTCTACTTATTATTGCTAGTTTGTTATTTGAGTTAGATTTCATTTTACTCATTGTTGCACACACCCACATTGAGCTTTTAGTATTTACATACATAGTATAGTTGGGTGGTGAGAGTTTGTAACTGAGTGTGAGCTTTCATTGTGTTCTCATCCATAGTTGAGAACAATCAATTATTGTATTGAGCCTAATTGTAAGATTCACTTTGTAATACACTTGTATACTGAGAGGAGTGTGTGGTGAGAGTCGGGGATCGTCCCAAGAGGAGTGGCGTCGGTTGACGAGCCTAGGGAGAGGTTGTAACCGAGTACTTGAGGGAAACACGGCTACGTCCAACACTTAGTAGGTGTAGAGTGTGATTGCAAGAGTGTCGATTGTAAAGTTTTCGGTTAGCTAGAAAACCGTGTGTGAGGTGTAAACGTTATTCGGGTGAACGTAGAAAACCCGGTTGTGATAGTGGATTTCTCCCCGGGAGTGGGGGCGGAGACGTAGGTTGTGTTAGTGGATTTCTCCCCGGGAGTGGGGAGGGGAGACGTAGGACGGAAGGTCCGAACTCCGTGATCATATAGTGTGTTTGAGTGTGCTTTGGCGTTCATTTATATTTATGTTCATATCTTATATCGCAATTGTCCATAGCTCATTATTTATATGATCCACTATCTTGTTCATATTGTTTACCCCTTGTGTTAATTTCATATCCTTGCATATATCATATATTGCTTATATCTCTTTGCTAGGATATTTCTTGTTGTTCATATTGCTTATTCTTGCTTGTAACATATTGTATATCTCTCTTGTAAGAATAATTTGTTAATTAATTTTAATTGGTATTTAATCAGAGTAGATTAGCATAAGACCCTAATCACCCCTCCTCTAGGGTCTAACAGAATATTCAATGAAAAAGGACATGAATGCTATATAAGACTAGTTCTTCCCCCTTTATTACTCGTCTTTCCCCTAATGAAGACTATCGATTAGCACAATCTTTCAAATCAATATTATCTCTCTGGATCAATAGGGATTTATATCTTGAAGTAACAAAACATTATAGTTCATTCATCTAATGAGAGTAGAATTTCTTTATGTACGGTATTCTACCATATATAACTATATATATATTATATATATATAGTATATATATATTATATAATATATATATATAGGAGAGAGCAGAGAGAGAAATGAGTATGCTTTGTACAAGCACAACTTGTCGCTTGGTAGTGATGGCTCACCATCCGCATCCACTCACTACCCGATGTGAATATGATCCCATGATCTTTGAATGATGGAGGGGACATATGACACTTCACTTACAAGCATACACATATTGCTCACATATATATATATATATATATATATTATATATTATTATATATATAATATATATAATATATATATATATATTATATATATATATATATATATATACATATATATATATATATATATATGGGAGGAGAGAGAGATTAATGGGCTATCCTTATCATAGGAGCGAGTGATTCCTCCTTGCGCTTCTAAAAAGTCACATGATAAGCGAACATATGTGGATGCTGATCCGCTCCGTTAAACTTGATCTACATATTTCTAAAACCCCCTATGACAAGAATACCCATTAATCTTTAGATATATATATATTATACTATGATATAGTATACATAGGTATATATATATATATCTATTATATGATATATATATATATTATTATATATATATATATATACTACTATAGTAGTATATATTAGTTATATATATATATATATATATGGGAAAAGTGAATCTAGGTGACACCTAGGCTGCCCACCTAATGACGCCGGCCTTGAAAATCACATTCATTTCCTAAGTTTTTGTGATCCGGCTCCGTTGAACTTGATCTACACGTTCTTAAACTCAAAACCACCAATTTTGCGTGTGAACCGTGTGCGTTTTGACGCCTTTATGCATCTCGCTGCCAATTTTAACCGGTTTCGAATGAATAGAACTTTTTACACCGCCTCAACGAATGGTCAAAACACAGACGGGTTCACCCCAAAATTTGTGTGTTGTGGGTTAAGAACATGTAGCATCAAGCTTTTAACGGAGCGACTTCGCAAAATTTTTTTTAGCAAATGATGTGATCTAGGCGCGCGTCTTAGGCTCGGGACGTAGGTGTTCACCTTAGATCTACATTCCCGTACTGTATATCGTAATACTATATATATATATATATACTATATACTATATATATATATTATATATATATATTACTACTATATATATATAATATCATATGATATATAGAATGTTCTTGTATGCCACAAATACGTTTAATATATCTGGTACGCAAAATTTTATCTTCCAATTCACCGTGACGCATAAGGGGTATTTTCATTTAAAATTTATTGGAGAGTAATAACAATTGATAAATGAATTGACCAGGGGGGAAAAAAGATGAATATACGACTGAGATTGAATTGAATCATCTACTACGTCATAGTATCAGCTAGTTGATACTATAAATTAACTACGGCATCATAGATCCATAGCATTGTGCTCGTACTGATAAATGTAGCAATTTTCAACGTCATGCAAAAGCAGTGTATTTTGATGCATGAACACTGTATATGGCCAATTAACACCAGTTAGTTAACACACAACTTTGCCCCGAGTATGTATTTATTAAAAAAAATAAAGAAAAGAACGGTATAGCTTTCAGAAATTCACTCAATTCTTATAGAGATGCCCTACCGTCACACTCTAAGGCACACCACCAACCATACTCCCTCCATCTCTACAGTACAAGGGGGCCCACATGTGATTTTTTTAAAAAATCACATGTGAGCCCCCTACACTGTAAAAAAGAAAGGAGTATGGTTGATAGTGTGTCTTAGAGTGTGCCTCTATCATTTCTTATTCTTATATTTGACAGTTGCCTACCATCAGACGCCAGGTACCCACAATTAACTCGGGGGGCTGAAAACATCAAAACCCAACCAACAATCGGCGATCCCTCCTCATTAAATACCCACACCTATCCATCCCCTA